ATGATTTCACTTGACAGTTTTATTTACAAAAATTCCCATCAGGGAATTGAGAAGAGTATTTGACGAGTGTACGTATACTTTCGATAAATTCTCTTCAGGCCTGCTAGCCACAGCAGAAGCTACCGCTATCAGGTTGATGAAACCGCCCTTGGGTGCTCAAAAGAGCTTCGTGAAAACTCCGCATCTGGCGTGGCCCGCAGTCACTTAGCGGCATGCACTTATCCGCGCTCTGGTTGGCTCCCGTTTTTAAGAACAGACGAACATTATCGATCGGTTTTTAAAATTTAATCCTCCCATATATATGTATTGGCCTAAAGAGGATTTGTCGAAATTGCACGTACACTCGCCAAAAAGTCTTCTGAATTTTATTCGCATCTACGTGTCTAATTTATAGCTATTTTTCAAGTTTGCGGAATTTGAATATATTTTTGAAAATTTGATCTATATAAATAAATAATTGGGACTGTTTATGTTTCTTTCAAGACACAAATTAACCTTCAGTTGTTAATTACTATTGAAATGTTCTTGTGCCTGAGTAAGTGCCGTTTGGCGAGTGATTATCAACCTTTTGTAAATTTCACAATTTTGCATGAATTTCTGTTCGTCCCGTAGGTACCTCGTCCTATATTACAGGCGTACCTACGCCTTATTCCGGGGGGAGGCTCGTTTGTTCCCGTCCTAAACTCTGTAACCTCACTATTACGCTCACTTTAGTGCTAACCTGTACCCTAGCCCTGAATGTAACCCTAACGCTCTCGAATCCAGCGCCAGCTCAGGTGCCGCCGTAACTGCGAAAAAGCATTTTAGCGGTACGATTTCAAAAAGTCTTAAAGCTAATTAACAAAAAAAACAAGAAATCACGCTTTCTTCAATATAACACTCCAATATCATGTACTTTAAATCCCATTTGTCATGCATCGAAAGTGAGGATACAAACCGGATACTTGAGTTTGCAGACGATTAGAGGGAGCACCCACTTAGTAGGAGCACACTTGAATGCCTTAAGATGAAACGCAGAGATGTAGACACTTGTTAAAAGCCGGGACAATCACTCCCAGCACGCCCTCTCGCGGACAATGCATCTTTTCAGCCAACGTATGAGATGACACAAACATCACAGCTAAACATTTAAAAATGAGGGCATGCAAGAGAGTGAAAGTATGAACGTTTACTTCAGCAGTCAAGCTCTCGAAAACATTCCTTTTAGAAAGCACACAACAGAAGCCAAATTCCGTTCCAGAAAGCTATACAAAGTAATAGTTGTGCAGTGATGATGCTTGTGACATAACAGACGTTAAGTGACGAGCACATTTGAATGCGTACATAGGAGAAGGCAGAATAGTTCGTATGAATGATTTCTACGTGCGAAGGGAAATCATATTCGATTTGTGATACAACAAGAGCTAGAAGAAAGTGTCTTTTCTATTTTCCCACATGGAACTCCATAGTTAGGATTCACCAGAGTAAAACGGCCAGTAGATTATGTTAAACACAATAAAACAGATAGGATAAGCACCCAAACAGAATTTGTCCATGAATCGAACCTTGCCATCATCCTCTTCAAGTTCCCCCGACTGGACGGGCATTTCTACCTGTTGGGGAGCCGTCTTGGTAGTTGCCACCTCAGGGCTGACACGATTTTGCTTTTTGCCGTCAAACAGTCCCGTCAAAAATCCCTTCCCTGGCTGAGCTCTCTTCTTTCGGGCCGCGTGTGTGTTCATCCAATTGGCTAAAGTCGATTCTACCAGGGTGCTCGAGACGAAAGCAAGACAAACGAAGAACCAGAGATCAATGGCCTTGATGTAGGACACGTTAGGCAGATGAACCAGCAGGGAGGCGTTGTGTGTAATGAGAGCTATGATGGAAAGAAGGCCGAGCGAGACGCGAGCCGGAACAGCTCGGGGATCGATGAGGAAGGCCATCCACGCGATGAGGACCACTAAGCTTGAGGGCAAGTAGGCATAGATGATGTAGAAGCCGTACTTTCGAACCAGTCGCAGTTCCAGTTCCAGGCAGGAGAACGCCCCAGTCACGAAAGTACTGCTGTTACAGACTGGGAAAGCATAGACCGGATTCTTGAAGACATTCAGTCCCAGCTCCTCGTTTGTCTCCACCGCCAGATGCTCCAGCAGGGGTTCCACGTGGTGCTCCGTGGCATAATGATGCTTCGTGGTCCACCAACGCACCTCCACCTCCTTCTTGGCGTACCCATAGCTGCCGAGAAGGATGGAGCAGGTCTGCGTGTCCATGGGAAAGTTCCAAAAGGTCATGCGACAAAACAGGCGCAGGGTCAGCTTCTGGCTGTAGATAATGACGCCGTCGGCGTGAATCCAGATCATTTCATTGGGCTGAGTGACCTGATGCAGAGTACCGTCACGTGCGTTCAGGAAGTAGAGGTCAGGGATCCAGATTAGCTTGCAGAGCCGGCTTTGGGGTACCTGGTCGAGGTCAAGGGCGGCTGTTGCATTGCGCTGCACCCGGGCATCGTGCCAACGCTGACGCAGGATTAGGACAACGCTGAATTCCATGGTGCGAACGTTCACTTCTGGAATGCTGTGTATGTGTAGGCTAATGTCCACGTAGATTGGAAGCCCCGCTGTCCTAGGAGGCATACTGAGCATGCGAAATTTACCATGGTGTCTCCTTCCCCTCGAAGGCTCCATTGAAGTTGGAGTGAGCAACAAAAACCACACAACGACCATTAGGTGAAATATAAGATGTCTTCCCATTCCCCTGTGCGGCGTTGGGGCAGTCGAATCTAGGGTCTTGGGAGGAGAAGTTGATTTAGAAAGGGGGCTCTAAATTAGCTGAGATTATGAAATAATGGTGATGGATAAACGACAGTATTTTGCTGGCGGAAATTAACGGGTAAGTTCCAGGAAACAGTTCAGGGTAACAGTCCAGTATGAGGCTCACTGGAGAAAGTGGTAATTATTATTTGATTTTATTTTTAATTAATTATTTTTGTATTTTCCATTTTAAATTATTTGACAATTATCGCACGCTTGTGGTTGCTATATATTAGCATTTATAATATTTTTTATCTCTTATTTCCCGTTTTTGTTTTTTATGTTATTTTCGATTCTCCGCCCCTTTTATGTCCCACCCCTATTACCCCAGTTGCCATAAGTAGCGTATAATTGAATCCTGGGATGTTTGGTTTTCGTGGTGATGTATACATATAGAGCTTGAAAAAGACTAATCCGTATCGAGTAGCGGCTGAATACCGATGAAACAGGTGTCTGGGCTTTTAGCTAGAATTCGGCCTAACAGTTTAGTAAAAAACAGCACAAGGTTTCTATTCTGACTTATTTTTAATTGTTGACTGATATTATATCTTCAATAGCAGGAGGTATATGGTCGCAAATGTATCGTATGTGTTAACGAAAATACAGTAATGTTTTATTTAGCAGACTATAGTACTTAAGTAGTCATCTAATATTAATAATCGTATTGATTAATTCAACAATATTTATCTAGGCCGGGATGTTGGCTTCCGTCTAAGATTCTTTCCGGTGGCCTACACTATCCTCACTCTGTAAAAACTGGATGCTTATGGAGCTTATATTTTCTTCCTGGATTTTGCCGGTCTTCATACGTTCATGTATATTTCATAGAAACTTGCATAACATGTTTTTTCTTGTACTCATTTAGTGCAAAATTAAATATCATCAAAAATTACGCCTAAATGGTATCTTCTTTTAATAAGGCGTTTTAAATTCCTGGTTATTTTTGAAGTCAGCTTGCATTCAGGGTTTTCAAGCAATAAGATGTTTATCTTTTATTCACATAGGCTATTAATAAGAGGCAATTTTAGGCAGGTAAAAAATCGCAGTGTATATCCGGCAAGTAGCCTCACGTTCGTAAAGCATCACATATCTAGAAATTTTTTGAAAAGCGAGGGAATTATTTATTTATTTCCAGGCGTGCTAAAAAAGCCAACGCAGATGAGATTCGAACTCACGCTGGGTAACCCCAATGGATTAGCAGTCAATCGCCCTAACCACTCGGCCATCGCGTCACGTAAGTGCACTTTCTTTAAATATAATAAATGAAGATGATGCAAGTTACAGTGAATATAAGAAGGTATATTTGTTTTAATTTCTTCTATAAAATGCATATGAATATGTGAGGACATGAAAAATCAAGGAAAAGAAGCCCACCACCTAAGCTGTAATTTTAAAGGAAGTGAAAGGGGCTAAAAAATAACGTGTTTCAAAGCTGGCATCCTGATATACCAAAATATCTTAGGGTTTTGTTTTGCAGTAAAACATTTTACAAATGTACATTTCTGCGAGTGCTGCAAACAAAATTCAGGTCGAAATTTAACCGGTTAATTTAGCGTATAGCTGGACAGGTTATTTTGATCAGCTGAGTGGATTTAAT